GCCAGTTTGTTTACCTGCTGCGTCGGCAGGTTCGGCGGATCGCGGCTCCCACTGGCCGTGGTTCGCTGTCCCAGGCCAATGGGGGCTGTGGGAAGTGGGGCGGGCGAGGGATGTGCTGGCCGCGGCTTCCCGCCGCCCCCATTGGCCTGGGATGATGACCCATGGCCAGTGGGAGCCGCGATCGGCCGACGCGGCAGGTTAACAAATTGGCCCGGCCCGCCAGGGTGCTTACCGTGGCGAGCTGCGTGCCAGAGTTTGCCAACTCCTGATTTAGGCCTTCGCTGAAGAATTAACTGTCTTCTGGAGTCTTCAGATTTCCTTGATTCCTTTGAGTTGGGGTAGGGCAGAGACTTATGCTAGTTTCACTGGGTGAAATTTTAGCAATTGAGCTAGGTCACGTGGTGGCGTAGTCTTCATTTAGCCCAGTCAGCAGCTTGTGATACCACTTATTGGCGTGTGGACTATGGCATAGCTCTTAAATGGCTCTGCTCTTCCCTGCTAAGATGACCCAAAGGCTGGTATTGAGCAGTTGCTTCTTTATTGGGAGGATGTTCTTCTACAACATTCACTAGAACTTACGTGCAGCTGTGTGTCTCGTTCACATCTAATGGCATTACAGGCATTCTCTCTAGCTTCCCATACACGTTGAACAGGAGGGAGTGACCGATTTCAGTGAATTTAGATGATTGTCTTTATTTTTGGTGAGCCCCTGAGACTTGGGTTTAGAGCTGATTAAAACTCAGTTTAGAAGAGTCAGAAGTGATGCTGGAAGTCTGGGATGATGCCTGCACAAAAGGTTTGCTATTTATTAGTGCTTTTCAGCCGGATTGTTAATGGATTCTCTAATGGCTTTTGTGACCAACAGGGCCTCTTTATTTTGCAACCATTTCTTTCTGATGTGGACTTTGTTACAGTCATTGATGGCTTTATAATGCTGAGATTGGATTACTGCAGTGCATGCTACATGGGATAGCTTTGAAGATCACTCAAACCTCAGAAACAGCTGCCTACCTGTTTAGTGCACTGTGAACCACTGGAGTGAACCATTATACCAACCCTCAGAAGTGTTCACTTACTTTTTATTTGCTCTTAGGTGCTGTTCAAGGTGGTGGTTTATTTACATTCATTAAAAAAATTATTCAGCATCCAGAGACCATGATGGGGGGCTGTCTAAAAATAAATGCTGCATAATAGTTGTGTGATCCAAGGTGCAAATATTGTCATTTCTTTAGTTTGAATGAACGAACTAAAGGACTGTGGATCAGTACCAGGGGCGACTCTAGGCACCAGCAAAGCAAGCACGTGCTTGGGGCAGCCCATTTGCAGGGGCGGCAGGGATCCAGCATGGGAGCAGAGAACCAACAGGGGGCCCTGGGAACTGTAGTTCCTTGGTTAGCTCCCTGCCTATAGATCCAGCCCTGGAGCAGAG